GTGAAACATGGAGAGTCCATACCCAACAACTTGTTATATAATCCATTTTATTACAAAATATTTGTCAGAAATGGGTTATATCATCAGATGTCAAAGTCGCCACCAAATCTTTAGGGAAAACTAGAAAACACATGACTTGTGCCAAAGGCCACTGTGCATTATAACCAAAGTGTCTCAGTTCGAGAACTTAGGTATGAGGGGGAAATGTTATGAATTGAGCACCCCCGCTCACTCGATCAAAACAGCGGCCTCTACTAAGTCATGATATCAGTTTTATAGTCTCCATATGTTTGTGTTCCGATTATTTTAATAATGCTGACATTGCTCCGTGAAACAAACAATTATAGATTGTGTCACCCATTTTGGTTATGCTTTGATTCTAGGCATTTTGAAAGGTTTTAAATAAATGTACAACTCAAAGAAAACTGAGCTCACATGCATATCAATCAACTTCATTCCAATCCAAGCAATACAACCTTCATCCATCGACATTCAAGAAGGTACATCACCAAAGAACTTAGCCATATGGTAGGATGCTAGACATAGTAAACTAACATACACAACTGAGATGTTAAACGGTAAGTGATTACAAAGCATTCATCTATAGCAAGCCAAAAGTAATATACTATATACACATGCATGATCCTACACATGAATGGCTAATGCAATACACCTACAAAATGTAACTAAGGACTCGGCTACTACACGTGACATGTGTATCATCTCATGGTATGAGGTAATGCACAAAATCACCTTAAAATTTATAAATTCCACAAATGTAAATGAACCAAATCTGTATGTATGAAAAATGGATGCATACCATGAATATGATAAATAAAACATGATGCTTTCCAACATATATGGAAAAGCATAGAAATAAAAAAAAGACGTAGAGTTGGGAGTTATTACAACAATAAATAAATAGATATGGGGTTGGAAATTATTACAACAATGAATTAATTCAGCCAAATAAAGCTGACTCTAACAAATCATAGGATAAAAAGCAAATAAATTATTAACAATGACCTCAGAACCAAAAAGATCACCCTTCAGAAGATGCTCTATCTTGCTCTGTTCTACCTAAAGAAAGGTAAGCCGGCCAGATGAAAGTTTTACTGGACAAATTGTTTCTTGGCTGGTCGAATAAAAGATCCAAGGGAAAACCTGCTTTGTACAGCAAAGCCAAAACAGAACAAAAACATCTTCCAAAAGGGTGCTCATCCTTTCTACCTTTTCCTCTGATAGAAAAACTCAAGAGAGAAGTAAAGGGGCCTCAACCCACAATTAACAACACAAAAAGGCCTCAAACAACACAATACAACAATACATCAAATGAAATAGAAATTGAGGTTGGAAGAAATTCAAGTCCAAGAAATAAATGGAAACTTACAATCATTTCTTTATGAATAAGGGTAAATTAATATCTAAATTCATGTTATTAATTGGAGAGCGTAGATTAATGCCCATTGTTTCTTGGTGAAAGGTTTACTTTGAAAGTAAGAGATTCATCAAAGAATGTTGAGAACTCCTCTTCTACCCATGGAATAAGGGTGTTTCCACCCTTCTCCATGTTTAAGATGGATTGAGAAGAGAATTTTTAACATATTTGACCAAAAACCTCTTACTTTACTTCCAAGTGAACCACAACAAAAATGAAAGTCAAGAACCCTCTCAACACCCAATCTTAAGAATCATCTAACTAATTCCATGCCCCAACCACAACTACTCATTAGAATTGAGTATGGATTGAAACATATGAACCAACATGCTTAAATAATGAGGAAGATGATGGGAAAGTGAATGGAAAGGAAAGAAATTACACTATATAATCAAACTTGAGAATGGGTGACTACTTTCTAACTTCCAACCACATCCACACTGTTCAATTTTACATGTCTATATACAACAAAATGGACTATAGCACTACAAAGCAAGAACAATCATGTAAGAGTGAAAACAAGTAACAAAAAGCGATCAACTCAGTGGACGACTAGCTACATCATATTCCCAACCACATCCATAGGACCCATCATGTGATAATAACATAAAAAAATAATACAAGCTTGAAAGGGAGAAAAAGATAAAGAAATTGAAGAAAGAGGTTAAAAGTTCACCTCTTGACAAGAGAGTGAGCTTCTTGGTTGTCGAGCTCTTTCTTGGCACCCTCAAGGTCCTCTAGCATGGCTTAGAGTCCTTAAAATTCTCAGCAAGGTGTGACAAGCTAAGCTCTAATGGAGTTTGAGTAGTATATGTGTGAAAAGTGGAGATTGGAGATGAAATAGGGTGATAAGCTCTCAAAGCAAGTCTCTTGGCCTTTTAAAATTTTATAACCCTAAAAAATGAAGTTGAGCCATCTTTATATAGAGTTTTGGGACGAAAATATTTGAGATATTTGTGGAAAATTAGCAAAAAAAGCTAAAATTTATGAAAATGCTCTATACTCGAACAATTCCACCAGTCGTACCATTATTTTTCTAGCCATAAACAGTTATACGGCTAATGAGAAAAATGTACCATTAGATCAATAATGTAAAGCTAACATAATTTGACAAGAAAAACAAGTATTTTAAGAGAATTTGACCCATTTATTCACTCCCACTATGTCTATTGCTCAATCTACTGAAAAGACAACATTTAAGGTTTGAAAATGCGAACCTCAAGACATCATAGAAATGTTTGGAACCACGCAACTCTAAAATACCTTGAAAAACGGTTTTAAGAGGGTCCAAAATGGTTTTGGCCACACAGGTATAGGTTTGAATAGTTGGGATTAAAGTTTGAATTTTGGCTTTCCTGCTAGAGAATTCAAAAGACTGCATATTGGAACTTTCATCATCGAGTGCTTGGAATAGAGTGCCAAAGTCTTAAAGTTGATCAAAATAGGGTGTTTACAGTTACAACCACTATTTTGTTTTCAAAACCAAACTTGTTTACCATACCCTTCCAAAGTCAATGGACTAAATGTGTTACAAGTCCATTAAAAAGGGATTTTTCAATAAATCTCCCCCCCCCCAAAAAAAAAACATTAGAAAAATTACAACAAAAAAAAAAATCTTAACATTTGAACCTTGAAAGAAAATGCTCTTAAATTTTTAATTTTTTTAATTTAAATTTTAATATTTTGATTTGTTTTCAATTAACGAAATTAAAAATGAAAATTTTATTTTGTTTCGAAACTCATGTTTTCACTTTTTTTTTAATAATTTATTTTCAAAATATTTGATAGAATCAAGATCATAATACGATTTTATAATTTCTTATTTTAAATTATAAAATTTAAATTTTTAATATGATCTTAATTGTTTAACTCAACTAAAGTAGTAAAATTTTTAAAAAATGTTATGAATCTCAAATAATTTATCAAATCTCTCACATGAATGTGGAAGCTACACAAATCCACATGTGTGTGTCCCACACCCATGTGAAAAGGTTGGCAAAAAATTTGATAAATTATTTAAGATTCCTAGCATAACTCAATTCTAAAATCTTACTAGATTAAAATTTCTAGGGTCCATTTGTTTTGGGTTATAGGGGATGAGATTGGATTAGGATGGATGTGGAGTCTACTAATATTGTGTTTATTTGCAAAATGGGGCAAGAAATTTACAATACCTTGGGATTATGATTAACTTCAATGGATGGGATTAATAGTCCCCATGGGGGTTGATATTAAAAAAATAATCCATTGGGATTTGAGAGGGATTTACTATTTACCCTCTACTATCCTACCTAATTATTTACTCTACTTGATTAGTATGGTCTTTTCTCTATCACTTTTTTTTTTTTAATTATTCTACCATTTTTTACTCCACCATTCATTATTGATATCAAAATAATTAATATAAAAATATAATAGTATAATAATATTTATATCCAAAAAAATTATATTAAAAAATAAAATGGTACCAAAAATATATATATATATATATATATGAAATATAATTTTAATATTAAAATATGTAATGCATTTATCAGTTGGTATAAGTCTAAATTTAATAATAATTTAACAATAATATTTGTGAAAGTTTACATTATTAATCACATACTTTATCTCTTAAAATAAATAGAAATTATTGCTAATTCATTGATTATCAAACAAATATTAGAGTAATACTATATACACCAATTAGTATACTAATTAATAATATGACATAATTTAAAATATTTTTAATAATTATAATTTATATAATAAATAAGATCAATAATAAAATTATAACTAATATTAATATACTAATTAATATGTCAATTAATACATATAATATCACTCTTTTTCTTACCACGTCCGTAATAATACTCTCCTTATTAATTTCCTCCGTACCAATCACAACCAATCTATCTCTCAAATAAACGGATCCTTATAACTTTCCACGCATGCATTTCAACTTCTTCAACTCTCTCTGCCCGAACTGCCCAAGTTTTCCACTTCTTTGTATCGCCCAAACTGCCCCCCCTGTCTCTGTCTCTCCCTGTTTTAGCTTTCTTGTCTTCCCCAAACTATTCCTCTGGCTGCCCTATCATTGCGTCCAATGCGCCGTACTCGTATGGTTCCGCTCTCTCATGGGCACTTCGGGCAGCTCAAAGCCCACTGCCCGTATTCTCCGGGCAGCTCCTATTTGCTTTAGTTGTCTTCGATTCAATTAAAAAATTTAGAGAACCGATAATTCGCTTAATTTATACATAATTATCATTTCCAGTATATATGTGCAACATATTATTATTATTATTATTATTTACATATGTTTTTGAGCCTTTTCAACTGGTCAGCTTCTTTGAGTGCTTTGTTGAGATTTCTCAGTATCTTGGAGGAGCAGAGCAGGCATCTCTTGGGGTTACTTTTGAGCTGAGATTTTATCTGATACAGCTTGTACTGTGTTCTTGAGCAGGGTTCTTCCAGTTGGCTTGTAAAGGTCGTCGAGCATGTGATCTGAATCATTCATCTCTCTGTCAAGTATCTAATGTGATCTTTGCCTGATTTTCTGAATTGGGTCTGAGTAATATCTTCTGATTTTTGGTGGGTTTCTGAGGAATTGCCAAGTACTGTTTGGAAATCTCTTCTTTCTCGTGTTGTCTTAGGAGGTGGGTGGAGGGGGTTTTGACGTTGTCTCTGAGAGATTTTATGAAGTGGGTCTGAATTATTTCTTCTGATTTTCAAAGGTCTTTGGGGAAATAGTTCTGAAAGTGAAGGACTGATGGGGAATTTTGTTTTTAGGGTTGTGTGATGAAGGTTTCAGAGGAGGGAGGAGGAGGGTGGGTGATTTGAAGACTTTTTAATGATATTTGGGTTTGTAAAATATGGGATTAGGTGCAGAGGGTGTGAAGGGAGAGTCATGGGATGTGGGCAAATCAAAATCAAAGAATAGGAAGAAGAAAGATGGTGTTGTGGAGGAGACTGGGTGTTGGGTTAGGCTGAGATTTATTGGCAGCTGTATTTCTTCAAGATCTAAAGTGGAAAGCTCTGTTAGTGGCATCAGTACTCATTGCGGTAATCCTTTACTTCCTTTGAAATTGTTATTTGTTGTGTTGAAATTTACATTTTCTTAATTCACTTCATTTAACCTTTTTGAAGGAGTTAAATGTAATTGCTATTTGTGCATATTTGGGGATATATGATGTTTATCTTAGCTTCTTCTGTGTTATTAATTTGAGCTGGAATGCATCAGTACCGATTTTGTTGATCAAAACGTGACAACAACTTATAGTTGAAAAAAAGAAGGAAAAATAATTCAAGATGCGGAGAGACTACTACCCCATTGTGTCAAGAAAGTTTTTTGTTCTTGCATACATATACAGGGCAGGATGGATGTCTCTAGGGGTAATATAAATAACTTCACCCATTGAAATATCTTGAACATTATATGCAACCTAGAATTGATAAGGGAAAATGAAAATGAAAGCAAAGTGAAAAGGAAAGCTGATTTTTTTCATTTTTTCCTCTTAAGTTAAAAATGTTAGATTAGAAGTTTTTATGATATGATATGAATCATGAAAAAGAGAAGTGATATCTAGAATTCAAAAAATTTCACTATTTTCTCTTGCTAATTGTTTTTCTTTGGAAACTAGAGGGAACAGTGATTTCCTCAGTATTTTCTTTACTTTTTCCCTCAGCAATCAATAAACCAAGTAGAGCATGTATGTCTTGATTGAAATAGGTATAATTGAAGTGGGGAAAAAAAAGAAAAGAAAAGTCATGTTGTTGTCCTGGAACTGTTAGTTGCTGATCAATAAGCCAACTATTTAATGTGTTTAAGTTGATTGGTTATAAAACATGGGAAATGATTGGTTTGTGTAGTTGTAATAGAAAGGTATTATGGACATGGCAGTTATTTCAGTTATCATGATTGTTGTGTGGTGTTGACTGGTGATTGGATTTTGTAAGCAATTTCCATGATGGAAACTAAGGTGTTGGTGATGATGTGGTCAGGGAGCTTGGTGGCAGTGGTAATGGTGGCTGGATTGGTTCTTTTTGTATTAATGGCGGGAGTGGATGGGATTTTAGTTGCGACATATCAAGTATATAATAGATCATGGTTTTGGTAATTGTGTTACTTGAATTTTTATCAAATTTTCTACCACGAAAGAGGTACAACCTCAAAGGAGCAAGGATCATAAACAAGAGAGTATAATATAAAGAGAATGTTAACTTGGAGGGAAACCATATTATTATTACATTAACCCATAATCATATTGCAAGGCTTGATTAATACACACTAAATAAAGAAAATACTCTAATGACTTAAAGATAACTAAAATACAAAAATACCCATACTAGACAAGAAGTAACAAAAAAATCCAAATTAATAAATGTCATCAACCCCCCCCCCTCCCTCTCAATATTCCTTGTATAGAACTGGCTTTTTAGTATTCTCTTGTATATTATCGATCTTTCCTCCTTTGTACCTCTTTCGTGGTTGGAAATTTTATTGGATGACTATGTGTTGGATGTTATGGAAATGGACAAAAGTTGTGAAAATGTGATGAATGGTGGATCATGGGTTATTGCTTTTGTGTTGGCTTTCAAAGTTCATTGTTTGGCAGGTTAATGGTGATGGTGCTCTTACCCTTTTGATTATATTTTTATTTTGTATGTCTATTGGGTATCCATTAGCAATAAGACCTTGTTCCTTGAAGTTCAAATGAACTTTCAACCCGATTTTTATTTTATGTAGAGCACTAAATTTTTTCCCTCAAGAAGAATTGGAGTTGGTAGCCTTGGTTCAAATCCTAATAGTTCCTTGATATGAAAGGGTGACTGCACAGAATCAAATAATAAGATTAACTATTCATTGTCAAATTAAAAAATCAAAAGTCACAAAAAAACGAAAGTTATTACGATTTTGTGATTGATATATTGGATAATTGTAAGACCTAGATTGACATGGGATACTTTAGTAAATATACCCCCAATTGATTGGGGCACAAGACTTGGTTTGGTTTATTCTTATTATTATGTATTATTATCGTCTTCCAACCTCAAAGTATCTCAGCTGGGAATTCAGAGGCTCCTGCTCACTTTAAAAGTTACTTCTCCTTGATATTAGTAGTTCAGTGGAACATGCATCAAATGCTGTGCAGTTTATTAATGTTTAGAAGGCAAGATCTGAATAATTTTTCATCTGGTGGTACATTGCATTAACATATTGTCAAGTTTTTAAAATGCTGCCGCAACCATTACATAACGCCGTTACGTAATGGTTGTGGTGGTCACTACCGCCCGTTACGGCCGTTATAGCGGTGTGATGGAAATTCACATGTGTAACGGCGGTTTTTGTATTACATAATGGTCGTAGCGGTACTGTAACAGCCGTAGCGGTACTGTAACAGCCGTAACGGTCCGTTAGATATTGTTACACCCTTTTACAATAATCTGAATAGTTTCTTTTTCCAAAAAAACAAAAAAACAAAACAAAACAAAAGCTTACAAAAACGGAACAAATACAAGTGATCCAAGCCTAAAAGAAAAAATCTTATATGAATTTTTTTTCTTTATAATTTTTTTTTTCAATTTATGGCACAATTTTTATTTTATAATCCTTTCATTTAATAATTGTGAATATTTTTTATTCAGTTAGTTCAAATATTGATAAAAAATAATTTGTAGGCATTTAAAATCAATTATTCTTAAAATCATTAACTATTGAAATAAAATATAAGAAGCTCCTTTTTTAGTAATTTGAAAATATGAAATATATTGAATCATACTTAAAAATTAACAAAAATTGATCAAAATTTATTTTAAACCCTAATAAATGTTATTCTGAAAAAAAATTAAAAAATAAAAAAATATGCGTATCGGTTAGTTTTCTTCAAATTGTGCGAAAAAAAATAAATAAATTCACGCTTCCAGTTACCGCAACCGTTACGCTACGGCCTTTACACCCCATAACCGCTACTGCATCACCGTAACCGTTACGGCAACCACAACTGCTTTTCAAAACCTTGCATATTGTTATTTACAGAGAAAACATGTTCTTGTTAAATCAGTAGTTGGTGGTATGTGAAATGCATGTTTCATAGGTCACTTGTATTTTGTCCTTGGTTCTGTTGTGTTAAATTGTTGTTGTGTGGCCATACTTGCATCATCTTTTAAGGTGTTCTGTTTACTTCTTGTGTGGCTGTTAGACCACCCTTGTAATACATGTAGTCATGTCCCTGAACTTGTTTTCACTAAACTGGATCTCATTTGGGTACAGAGCACGTAGAATTTTGTTTAATCCTATCAGCATAATGGCAGAATGCGTGAGGTTTGGGTGCTATATAAGACCAACCAACTAGAACTTTTCCTGTTTTGATGCTTTATATCTATTTCTTACAAGTTGTTTCCTTGTGTGTGCCAGCTGAAACAAAATCTACAAATGATACAAGCAGAGACAACACTGTTGCTCCTGCAGTATCATCAACAACCACAAGTAATGCAGAAAGCAATTCATCCACATCCAAACTTGAAGAGGAACTAAAAGTTTCTTCTCGGCTTCGAAAATTTGCATTTAATGATCTTAAGTGGGCAACGAGAAATTTCAGACCTGAGAGTCTTCTTGGTGAAGGTGGTTTTGGTTGCGTATTCAAGGGGTGGATTGAAGAGAATGGAACTGCACCAGTGAAACCTGGCACAGGACTTACTGTTGCTGTGAAAACCCTCAACCATGATGGGCTTCAGGGTCACAAAGAATGGCTGGTTTGATACTTTCCTATTGCATTTCACTTATGAACACTTCGTCTTCTGTTTGCCTTTTCTTTTCTTATCGTTTTAGTTCTTGGCTGTTTTCACATCTCATCTCAATGGCAGGCTGAAGTTAGTTTTCTTGGCGACCTCATTCATCCTAATTTGGTTAAACTGATTGGTTACTGCATTGAAGATGATCAAAGGCTGCTAGTGTATGAGTTCATGCCTCGAGGAAGCTTGGAAAACCACCTTTTTAGGAGTACGTAACTGCTTTTCTTTTGATACGTTGCTCCTTTTTCCTTGATATTTTGGACCACAAATATTTATTTTATTTTATTTATTTATTTTATTTATTGGTTAAAGAGGAAAATAGAAATTTTGGACCATAATTGTTCAGTATTTAGGTTTCTGGTATTTAGGTACAATAGAAAGTTGACCATTTGCTTCTAGGTGGAGTGGACTTGAAATCTATCCTCTTCAACCTCCAGCTTGTAACTTTGGTATCTCCTGTCATACCCAAAAGGAAGGGTGCAGTGTTCAGCCTGTGATTGGGATTGTGTATTATTATCTTACTTTCCCTAGAAAACCAAAATAAATTAAAAATTTATTATTTTTACCAAAGGTATGTCATATGTGGAGAATTATGTTTACTTGAGCTGGAATTATTGAGCATTCTGCGTAATGTATGCTCATAAATTTATCTTGTTACTTGTCGACTTAATTTCATGGGATTCTAGTAAAATTGAATTCATGAATTTTCGTGCTGATTATGCCGTCAATAAAAGATTTTCTTTAAATAAGAAATACAGATACTGTATATGACATAGAGAAATATCAGAGTCCACATGAAGGAAATTTTTTTTGAACTGTGTATGTGTAGTTTCATGTTTGTATTTCTGTGTAACATGAATCAGAAAGAAGAATGAATGTAATTTTCATATTATGGATCTGTATTTGTGGTGGTGTAGTACATTCATTGTCTATCTCCTTAAAGCACCCTGGTATTTATTCTATGACTTCTTTGGTTTCCCCTTGATGGATACATGGCTTCTACCAAAATTACTTGTTTTTGAAACTTATGGCTTTCATTTTATTCCGTTGTGTGTGTGTGTGTGTGTGTGTGTGTGTGTGTGTGGTGGAGTTGATGGGTTTTCTATATGGCGTGCAAGTGGGAGGGGAGGGGGAGGACTGTATGGTGTGGCGGTTGAATGGGGCAAAGGGCATTTTTTCGGTTTCATCATTCTATCGTGCTCTGGTGGAAAGTGTGGGTGGCTTGTTCCCTTGGCGGAGTATTTGGCTTGCGGGGGTCCCCTCTAAGGTTGCTTTCTTTGCTTGGATGGCGGTGTTAGACAGGATTTTGACAATTGATAATTTGGTCTGTCAGCAGTATATATTGGTTAACCGGTGTTGCATGTACTGTAGTGACGTGGAGACAACGGCACATTTCCTTCATTGTCCTGTGGCTTATCTGTTGTGGATTTGATTTATTCGGTTTTTGGCGTGGTTTGGGTTCAGCAATGGAGCGTCGAGGGTGTTCTGTCAAGTTGGGCATGGCGTAGGGTCTGGAAGAAGCATCAGAAGGCTTGGGCTTTGGCCCCGTTGTGTTTGATGTGGTTGATTTGGTTGGAGCATAATCGGCGTATCTTTCAAGGGTTGGGGGTGTCTGTCTTGTTTGCAGAATAGGTTCCTGGTGGTTTCGTATTGTTGGGTGAGGGGTGGAATGAGCTGGATGTGTTTTCTTTTCTTGATTTTTTGGATGATCTTCTTGGTTAGGTGCTTGGTCTATAATGTATTCTTGGCATCAGCTTGATGCTTGTTTTTAAGAATATTGGCTTCTTATTTATCAAAAAAAAATAAATAAATTTCCTAACTATCTCAAGCCACATTGATTTTGGTCTTGAGCGTCACCCTAAAAAATGTTGTTTTAGTCTGGTTTATGATATAATAAGGAATTCCAAATCGACTTTGGTGATTGCAAAAGGAAGTTTATAAACTACTTGTGATCTTTATGTTGGAGACTGCATATTTTAACAGATTAGAAAAATAATGTGACAATCAGTTTTCTTAGTGGACTAGACAAGTTGTATTAATGATAATATGAAAAACAAACATATTAATCTTTGCCTTTCTTTAGTGTTATATTTTATCTTAGCTGAGATATTAGTATTTTCAATACATTTACATGATGGGATTGGCTCCTTTCACTTGTATGGAGTAAAAAAATACATGATGCTGTGAGTGTCCAAGCAAATTATTCAGCTGTTCTGAAGGAGACAGATGAGAATCAAATCACTGCCACTTAAATAATTCATGTGTTTATTTTGAGCATGAAAAAACAATTAGTGAATCACTATTGCAGAAATTGCTTGTGACATGGAAAGGGTGTCTTGCAGAAATAAGTTCAGAAAACAAGGTGAGCTATACGAAATATATACACAAAGAATCAAAGCTACTGGAGAAGCATGTTGAACTAAGTTGCTATACCATAGTACTTATGCTTGTGGAGTTGCTAGTCTGGTCCCAAATTCTTTTAAGTGTCCTGTTAGAATGGGTGGAGTATATCCTTTCTCATGTTTCAATCCAGCCCCCTTCTAGGAACCTTATTTTTTTTTGGTGGTAAATTCTTTGATGATTCCTTTGGACCAAAATGTTAGTCATTTATAATAGGAAAGAAAATCAGTTGATGTTATTTCCTATGTTGAAAGGAAAGTATACTTTCCAATGTGACCATACTTCTCTTTGCAGGAGCCATTGCTCCCCACAAAGGTTTGGGTATTCAGTTGGCATAGATAATACATATAGGTTTATACTAAGTTCGCCACCTATCCTAAATTTCCATATTTGGCAGGACTAAAACTGGGTAAAGTCTTTTAGGTCTTCCTTTTGCTAAAAACAACTGTACTCCCCCAACCCAAAGCTACTATTTAGAGGCAATAAAGCGAATCTTAGCATGGGATAAAATTCAACTTGTTTTTGTGCATTATTCTTTTCACAAATTTATGTTGCCTGGTTATAATGCAAATATGATATTTAATTGAATACGAGACATTGGCCTGTTAATTTGTGCAATTTTGCTAATGTTAAAGTTTAGTCATTGTTGGATCTGGAATGGTATTGGCAGTTCAGCTTAGAATATGATTGCTCAGTGTTCTATCATAATAACCATTATGTGCAGGGTCCCTACCTCTTCCATGGTCCATCAGGATGAAAATTGCTCTTGGTGCTGCAAAGGGCCTGGCTTTTCTTCATGAGGAAGCAGAAAGGCCAGTTATATATCGAGATTTTAAAACCTCCAACATCCTATTAGACGCCGTATGTAATATATCTGGGGGAATTTTACATTGCTTCTCTGATTCCTTCATTTTCTAATAAAATGTCATTCCAGGAGTACAATGCCAAACTTTCAGATTTTGGACTTGCCAAGGATGGTCCTGAGGGAGACAAGACTCATGTCTCTACTCGTGTAATGGGAACTTATGGTTATGCAGCTCCAGAATATGTGATGACAGGTAACGGGCCTCACCTCTTTGTTTCGGTGAATGAACCTCTTCTCTAGCCTGTACTTTTTGTATTTTGGTTATCTATCTTCTGTGGATTTCTGGTTCAGTTCAAACATTTGGAAAAAAAAAAAAAAAAATTAGAGAATCCAATAGAAAACTTTCATCCTGTGTGAACTAAGGTGTAGTACGTTTTCTGTTGGAGTAAACACCAAAGATATTTTTAGTTCTGTTTTGTTTTTATCTAAAATTTCTTGATACTTCATCTGATGACAGCACTGATTTAGTAGCTTAGTGTGCTTATTTATTGCCCATGGTAATTGTGCCATTGGTTTATTTATTTATTTATTTATTTTTCAAGGAATACCATTCAAAGCTAAGTTTCAGATGATGCCATGTTGGAATTTCCATTCCATTCGAGTTCTCTGCTCCTACAAAGATATTGAATTGTCGTGGTGTCATCATCTTGAACTTTGCTTTTGTCCATTATTTTTTTTTAGTATCGACCATTTTTATTTAATTAGATTGTCTAGTAGGCCATACGATACTCATACAATTATCATTATTGGATTTTTAATACTTTCTATTATACTCTTGCCATTTTATAATTTAAAATATATGCAATTTCAAATTTAGAGGTATATTGTCCATTAATTTTTCTATAGACACTTTAATGGGTTGCCTTAAGCCATTCATTTTGTGCTTTTGTTGTTGTTGTTGTTATCATTACAATCGCAAACACATTGCAACAAACACGGAGGTGCTTTTTAATTATTTTTTTGTTTTTAATGAAAGGGCACTTAAAAAACAAAAAGAAATGAAAAGGCCTTATTATGAATTACCGGTCTTTATGGATTGTGCATCAGTCTTCAAGTTTAACAGTATGAGGTTCTAATGATATTTGTTCACCAACCAGACTCAAAAATTTCCGAATGTCATTAATACACATGGGTTGTGATTTGAGATTCAATATTCTGATATTCTCTTATTTTTTTATATCAGGACATCTTACATCAAGGAGTGATGTTTACAGCTTTGGCGTGGTTCTGCTTGAAATGCTGACTGGTAGAAGATCGATGGACAAAAACCGACCCAATGGGGAACACAATCTAGTAGAGTGGGCAAGACCACATCTGGGAGAGAGAAAAAGGTTTTACCGACTGATAGACCCCCGGCTCGAAGGTCACTTTTCAATAAAAGGTGCCCAGAAAGCTGCACAATTGGCTGCTCGCTGCCTTAGCCGTGATCCAAAAGCCAGACCTCTGATGAGTGAAGTTGTTGAATCATTAAAGCCACTGCCAAACCTCAAGGACATGGCTAGCTCATCATATTATTTCCAGACAATGCAAGCTGACCGCATCGGCTCAAGTCCAAATGCTAGACACGGCAATATAAGAACACAGGTTGCATCATTTCAAAGAAATGGGCAGCAACATCCACGAAGCCACTCGATACCAAACGGTTCACATGCTTCGCCTTATCACCATCAGTTACCTCATAATTCACCAAAACCTAATGTTTAACCATAAAGCATTGTGTTGTTTATTCCTGTCTTTTTCTCATTCTTCTTTTCAAATATAATTCTATTTTCTGGGAGTTGGATTGGATGACTGGAAAAGAAACAGGAACGGGTTTGTGTTATGTTGTGATTAATGTTCCGGTGAGGAGATAGTTAGGGGAGTTGGCAGTTTATGGAACAAACAACTATGTCAACCACATGTTTTACTTATTTGTTCAGAAAGATTAATGATAATTTATCTCTCTCTCTCTCTCTCTCCATGTACCCCTCCTACCGCGGCACTGTGTATTATCAACACAAAATGTTGTTTTGTAATTTGTCTGCAAAAAAAGAAAAGAAAAAAAAAATTGGAGAAATTTTGATTATGAATGTGATTGTTTAGCCAGAAGGAAAATGATGATGATGGGCTATGGTCAAATGCCAAAAAAGGGGTGGCATAGTGGTCACTATTGTGCAGTCATATAGCTCCATTTCGAGATCTACTTAAATAAATTAAATCGTTCAGAGTATAATATACTTGTAAAAAATCAAATTTATCGGGTATCATTAACCTTTTTATCAACTCAAATTTGTATCTATAAAAATAAAAAATAAAAAATAAAAAAAAAAATAACAAATAAAATTTGAAATATAAAACTAAATTCAAATGTGAGTCGATAAAAAGATTAACGATAACTTGATTTTTTACAAGTATATTATACTTGATGTATTCTAAAAAATGAACAATTTAAATCATTAAAACGGACTCCAAAATTGGCTCATATTATTGCACAATCCCTGCACAGCAACCACCTCATTTCCAATATAGCACATCCTCATAAGCACAAACTATAAGGTTTAGGATGATCTAAATAAGTGCACTTTTTTACTTTTTATGAAATATGAATTGGGTATGGATTGAGTTTGAAGTGATGTGGTAAAAAGGTGATGTGACTTAAATAACATAATGTGACTTAAATATGATAGTAACTTTTTAACTTTTTGACTTTTTTAAGTTATAACAAAGAAGAATCACTTACAAATCCCATAAACTGAAAGTATGTAACCCCAATTGCTATGGGAATAGCTTCTTTATAATTGCATGTGTGTCAATTTGTGTATATGTTGTTACGCCCCGACCCTTTACACGTCATCGATATTGTCCGCTTTAGGTCACGCCTGCATGGATTTGTTCTTCCCAGTGGGTCACCCATCCTAGAACTACTCCAGTCTAAGCACGCTTAACTGGGGAGTTCTAATAGGGATTTCACCACTTGGGAAAAAGGCCTCGATACTATATAAGGGTCTAGGTTTTTACTTTTATAACGCAGGAACTCCCCCTCCATTCCCGATGTGGGACACCGGCGGGAGGAGTTCCTGGGCTATAAAAGTAAAACCTGGACCTTTATATAGCATCGAGGCCTTTTCCCAAGTGGTGAAATCCCTATTAAAACTCCCCAGTTAAGCATGCTTAAGCTGGAGTAGTTCTAGGATGGTTGACCTATTAAGAAGAACAAATTCGTGCGGGCGTGACCCAAAGCGAACAATATCGATGACGTGTAAAGGGTCGGAGCGTTACATATGGTATCAGAACCGACTCTCCGGAGTACCGAGTGTGGGCCCCTGGCGTCTCTCGGTGCATGTGGGCGGGCTTATGAGCTGGCAGGCTACTGCAAGGAGACGTGCAGCCTTATGGGGGGTGGATTGTAAGGTCTCGGTGTCCTACATCGGGAATGGAGGGGGAGTTCCTGAGTTATAAAAGTAAAAACCTAGACCCTTATATAGCATCGAGGCCTTTTCCCAAGTGGTGAAAATCCCTATTAAAACTCCTCAGTTAAGCATGCTTAGGCTGAAGTAGTTCTAGGATGGGTAACCCACTAGGAAGAACAAATCCGTGCGGGCGTGACCCAAAGCAGACAATATCGATGACGTGTAAAGGGTCGGGGCGTTACAAAAAAGTTTGAGACCACAAGAGAAATATATAAAGTACAACTCAAACAAAAGAGAAAACCACAATATTTTAATATACACATATAAGCAGAGTTATAACATAGATAACTGATTTGAGTTCCACTAGAGGTTTACAAAATACTGTCAAACCAAAAGGTAAAAGGAGAGGGTGAGAAAGGGAGAGTTGGCTCAAGGGAAGTAGAGAAGTAAGAAGAAGAAGAAAAAAAAGAAGAGAAAAAGAAGGAAGGCAAGAAAACAAGAAAGAAAAAAAAGAAAAGGAAGAAAAAGGGTGCCTTCTTGAGTCAAGGTAAGAACACTTGTCTTCTCCAATTCTTTCACCATCCCATCCTATTGTTAGATTCCCTCTTGTGTTGCATATTAATGGGAAATAGGGTTTTTGATGTATATAAGAGTGTTGGTTTGATTTAGTGACTTTGCCTTACAAATTTGTCAAATTAGGCACTGCTATAACTTCTCTAATTTAAAAGAAATATCAAATTTATTTATTTCTTCAATCTGAATTCACTGTAGGCTATTTGGTGTGTTTAGAGCTTGTGGTAATTTTATTAGCCCCTAATTGTGTGATTTTAGGGCTTGGATACTTTGTTTAAAAATCTGGTCCTGAGTCTCTAAAAAACAATCCACTTCTTGCAATTTTATAAAATTCCAAAAAAATCATCTCAGTTTAGTTCTTTTGTACAAATTTAGGATTTTGAGTCCTATTTTCAATGGAATTTGTTTGGGTGAAAATCATTGGGTAGATTGAGAGGAAAGCTAATTTTCCCAACGGGTGACAAATCTGGACAGGTTTTCGAATATAGCTTGTAGATGAATTTCTGGAGGTGCTATGCACATTCTGTGAATTGGAATTGAAACTAGACAGGTTAATTATTATTTCTATTCTATTTCAGCCCCTAATTTGACCTAGAAGTATTTTTCCCAAAGCACTCTTGTTAGCC